TTATTTCAGTGAAAATCTTTAAAGGTGGTTTTTGGGTTTGTTGTTGTTTGTGTTTTTTAGTCCTGCTGGAAAGTATTTAGACTTTCAAAATTAAGCTAATTAATTCAAAGCGTCTTAAAATATAAATGTTTTAAAGAACATTAATAAATTCCAAATGTATGAGTTTTTGGTTTAATAGAAGAAATTGAAGTGAGTTTCTCTACTGAACATCTAGCACAATCTTCAATAGCTCAGCCTCTCCTCTTAAAATTAATACTATTTTAGATTTCTTCCAATCCAACAGTTTTAAGCCCAATCCCTTAAAGTTACTTCACCTTTTACATTAATATAAAACAAAAGTAGAGTATTGAGTCTACAATGAGGAAGACGTTCTCCAAATGTATTTACTGGGCGCGTCTACACATGCTGATTTAAGGCTTTTTAGCCTGATTTAAGGCGTATTAAGGGTGTGTGTCTACACGTGTATACTCCTTACAAATGGTGATTTTAGGGTATTTTCACCTAAACTTGATACCTACAAAAGCAGATACAAAAGCAAATTTAGGCGTGAATAGCTAAAGCATGTTAAGGCAAGTATAGACACATTAAGGTGCATGGACACTGTGTATGGACTGGCATGGGACTAACTTTAGTCTGACCTCAGTCCACGCACACAGTGTTAATGTACTTTAACATGTGCACGTGCAGATGCAAGCCTAAATCGTCTTAATGTGCATTAAGCTAATGCACATTAAATCTAAGCATGCCTAAGCGCATGTGTAGACATGCCTACTGTGTACATTTCTTTAAACTACTGCTGCTGTTAAAACAAAATTTAGTTCTTGTGGTCTTGCCTACGTGATTTCATAAAGAAAAATATATTGAGAAGCCAGACTGTCTTTAAATTTTGTGGACTCAAAATAATCCCTGAATTATCAAAAAAGATAATTGTGGAAAGTTAAACGAGAAACTTTAGAAAGCTCATTAGATATAGCAGAAGATTTACTGGGAAAGTATCATTCTGATATTGTAAGGCATTTTTTCCTTTTCTTCCATATTTTGAATCTATAACATATTTCCATATGTAATATAAATACCAAAACAATTCCATAGGTAACCTAAAATAAATTGTCTCAGTTTGGCACAGAACCTCTACTCTAGTTTCAGTGATAAATGTATTTTTACTAACCTATTCAAATGTATTTATATTGCATTTTCTTTTTCCTTGAATCTACTAATCACAGTTCCTTCCCAGGTCAGAGTATTCTAATTCAGATTCCATGTATACGGTCTTAAATAGCTTTTCTTTTCCCCAAAAGTACACCCTAAACTTAGGGGGATTTATTTTGAAATAGATCATGTTAGAGGCCAGAGACCTTGCCTCTTGCCTTTAGCAGGTCACAGAATAAAAACATTAGCATACTTTGGGCTTGATCTCTCTTCACATTATCCACACTGTACATTTTCATTAAAATTTTATAACTCCATAATAATGGTTCATCCCTGTACAGTGGCTTTTAAGGGGATGGCTGAAAGAAATTTTGTATATTTTACCACAGAAATCCTCTTCAGCTTCTTCAAAAGTTTTGTCATATTTTTAGGGTATGATCACATCTGGCAGGCATCACATTTGGAAGTTGGGAGATATCACTTGGGTTATTAGGATTTCATTATATGGTTTCCCATAAGACTATTATTTTACTCAGCAGAAATTTTAGAAACATTCTAAAAGGGTGATCATTATGCCACTTCTGAAGGGGCCTGGAGTGTGGTGCAAGCACTAAAGTTGACAGCCCAGAGGTTGCAAATTCAAGACCATAGCAGAAGCACTCATGAAGCGGTCAGATTCCAGCAAATGTGGAAATTCTGCTAAATACCTTGTCACAACAGGGACATGAGACAGGAACTGAAGGGAAGGGTGTCTGAATACCATGTTCAGAATACTAAGTGGATGGTAGGCACACAGGGAGAAAATGAGGAAGTTGAGCACGTGATTTGGGATGCAGCTGGCAAGGGACATAGAAGGCAATAAAAAAGGATTCTTCAAGTATGTCAAAAGTAAGAAGGAAGACCAGAGAAACTGTAGGTCCCTTACAGAATGCAGAGGGCTTTATGGTTATGTATGATGCAGAGAAGGCTGAAGTATTTAATGCCTTTTTTATTTCCGTCTTCACAAATAGGGGCAGCTACTGGATGACAAGTGCAGTTAATGGCAAGGATAGGGAAGGAGACATATAGCCTAAAGTAGCAGAAGAACAGGTTAGGGGTTACTTAGAGAAGCTAGATGATTTCAAATAGTTAGGGCTGTATGAGATGCACCCTCGGGTACTGAAGGAATTGACTGAGGCAATTGCAGAGACATTGGCTATCCTCTTTTAGAATTTGTGGAGGTTGAGTGTGTTCCCAGATGACTGTTAAAGGACAAACATAGTGCCTATCTTTAAGAAAGGGAGGGGAATTACAGACCAGTGAGCCTGACCTTAATATCTGGAAAGATTGTGGAGCTGGTCCTCAAGGAATCTACTGTGAAGCACCTAAAGGAGAACAAGGTGATCAGGAGCAGCCACCATGGTTTCACCAAGAGCAAGGCATGCCTAAGCAATCTGATTTCCTTCTAGAATAGGAAATCAGATTGAAAGGCTTATGGATGTTGGGAGAACAGTGGCTTTGATATAACTTGACTTTAGCAAGGCTTTTGACAAGGTCTCTCATGACACTTATTAACAACCAAAGGACATACAGACTAGACAAAAGTACTGTAACATCATAAATAACTGGTTGAATCATTGTATTCAGCAAGTAGTCATTAATCACTCAATGTCTAGTTGGGAGGAGGTATAAAGTAGGGTTCCCCAAGGGTCTGTCATGGGTCTGATATTGTTTAATATCTTCATTTAATGATTTGGACAAAAGTACTGAGTGCATGCTTAGTAAATCTGAGAACAGAATCAAGTTAGATAGAGTTGTAAATTCTCCAGAGGTAGGACTAGGATTGTGCACTAGGGATGGAATAATTGATTATACAGATGCAGACTGGGGAGTGACTGGCTAGGCTGCAGTAATGCAGAGGAGTACCTGGGGATTATAGCAGACCATAAGCTGAGTATGAGCCTAGTGTGCTTTTGTTGCAAAAAAAGCCAACAGCACAATGGGTTGTATCAACAGGAGTGTCTCTTGAAAATCAAGAGTTTCTTTTCTTCAATACAGCACTCATGAGACATCACCTGGAGTACTATGTTTAGTTTTGGGCCACGTGCTTCAAGAAGGATGTGGACAGATTGGAAAGAGTCCAGCTCAGAGTAACGCAAATAATTTAGAGGCGTGGCAAGTAAGACTTATGTGGAAAGGCTGAAAGAACTAGGGTTATTTAGTTTAGAGAAAAGAAAACTGCGGGGGTATTAGATAATAGTCTTCAAATATCTGAAGGGCAGTTTACAGAGGATGGAGAGAGGTGTTTCTCCTTGACTGCAGGAGACAAGACTAGAAGCAATGGGCTCAAAATGCAGCCAAAGCAATTTACGGTGGAGATTAGGAGGAACTTTCTGACTATGATAGTGGTCAAGCATTGGAACAGGCTACCTAGAGAAACTGTGGAATCTCCATCCTTGTAAGTTTTCACGAGCAGGTTGGACAGACACCTTGGCTGGGACAATTTAGTCAGGAATTATCCTGCCTTGAGCAGGGGGCTGGACTAGATGACCTTGTGAGGTCCCTTCCAGCCCTACTTTTCTATTATCTTGTTTTGCATGTAGTTGATCAAATTTACTTCATGAAGTTAACAGGCTAGGCAGATCCTTATAGGATTTACTGAGAGATTTTAAATAATCTAGGAAGGTGGTGATAGGGACTGACAGATCTACAAACAATTTCCCAGCCCTGGCAGCTAACTTGTGAAAAGGTCTTGTAGTGATTTTGATCTTGCATACTTACAAATTTTTCCATATTACTCAATTAATGGTGCTGATGTTTATTAATAGTAATACTCTGTGGAGGCGTCATGGCACTTTTAGCACCCTCTCATTGCAATGGCCATGATGAACTATTATTTATAAAAGAGCCTGGTAACAGAATGCAAGGAGATCTCCTGAGAAATTAGACAAAATAATGGGATTGCTGAAAGCTTAACACAAGTCATGGCTATAGGATAAAGGCTTTAAAAAAGTTTTTCAAACCATTTAAAAATAAAGAGGAAAAATGCAGTTCCCCACACAGTGCTCAGATATGTGGTGCTCAATTTTGTATAATTTGGCATAATTTTAAAGTTAAAACTACTCTTACATTTAAATTTGTCTCTAAGACAAAATCTTGCAAAACAACTTCAGATTCAATTTCCTGAAAGTAGAAAAGTTGCACTAAGCACTATAGGTTTGTTCATTTTTATGTGTTAATTCTGGCATTCTGAAAGCGTGCAAATGGCATTTGTCTTTGGATTTACAAAAACTCTAGATATTCAGAGTTTGAATTATTTAAACTCCCACAACACATGCACTTTTGCTTTTCAAGCATGAGTTATAATTTAATTAAAAACTTCTGGTGCATCTCTGGCTATTTAAATATTAAAATGTTCCATGGATCACTTTCGATTATCTACCGTCATGAAATTCCTGAAGATGTCAGATTTTTAAGATTCCCAAAGTTGCACTTGGAATTGTCTGTTGATGCAAAGGGGACTGTGATAATTACATACATCCATTAGTATCAGCAGAGGAGATAAACTTTGGGGAGGCTTAATGGGCATGTCTCAGTGACAGCTAGCAAAGAACATTTGGCATGATTAAGGATGGATATGAATGTACTTGAAAATATACTCTCATTATGGACACCCAGTGGAAGTTGCACTACAAATGTTAAATTCCCCAGAAGAAGAGTTGTGTGGCAGCGAAGCTTTGAAATCCACTGTGGCCGTCATCCAAATTATTCTCTTCTCTTTATGTCTTTCTGCTGTCAGATTCATTTTGTGATGCCCAACTTGGCTCCCTGCATCTTTGAAAAAAGGCAACCTGTTGATTTATGTGTTTCAGATTGTCCGAAGATACATCAAGGATTGGCTTGAAAGGAAGAAACCTCCATTTGGTGCTATCAGCAGTTGTGTGCTCCTGATGATCATCTACACAACATTCTGTGATACTTTCGCCAATCCAAATATTGACCTTGATAAATTTAGTTTGATTATAGTCGTGTTCATAAGTAAGTTTAGTCTTAAAATATTCCTTTGATCAGTTAGTCTCTTATATACAATGAATAGCATCTACTAGAAGGAGAAGGAAAGTTTAACTAGCATGGAGCTGAATTCTGTATTTTTAATGCATCTTGTAAGCAAGATAGATTAGAAAAACTACTAGAGGTTGCATGCTTTTTAGGATGTTGAGAAAGCAACAGCATTAATAATAGGATAAATATTGTCATGTACACTTAAGATTGCTCTGTAGTATTTCCTTTCTGAAAGGGCATAAATATTATGTTTTCAAATATTTTTGCCCATTCTTTTGAGGTTTTATCTATTATTAAAGGACAGGATATGTTTTGAGTTAGTATTGCACACAAAAAGAATAGATTCCATTTTGAGGTATCAGTCACAGAAAATTGTTCTAATAGCTCTTGAACCACTGGTCCTGTCAGTCTTATACAAGTAGAAATTATTGGGATTTTCTTGGTGGGGGATACATTTCCATGGTTAAAGTGATTTGTTGCAAAGTATGTTTCAGGTGTACCTTATTCATTCACATATTATGGAATTAGACCCCTGATATCCTTGCTGTCAGTTAGAAATACATTAGTTGATCATGAACTCCCAACAAAGGGCAGCAGTGTCCAATAACTGCCCACTCTTCCAGTCAATTACTCTTACTCGGCTCCCCCCTTTTGTAGGCACAGACATTCCAGGTAGTGCAGAAGATCTGTAACTCAAATCCCCCAATAGTAGCAACTCAAATCATACCCTGCACAACAACCTACCACCATTGAATTTTGGAAAATCATTTACACTCTTTTTATCATATGTGTATCTTAAACACAATGAGTGAAATCTAGGCCGTGCGGAATCAATAGAAGCTTTGTCACCGACTCTCACCTGGAATTTGAGTTAATCTCAGATCCTTTTTTGCAGTATGTTAAGTCCTCAGGTTGTTTCTTAACATGCAAAAAAAAGAAACAGTTTTTTGGGCTTTTTTCTAAATGAACAGAAAAAAAGCAACCGTACCTTTTAAAATAATTAGAGAACTTGCTTTTAGTTTAAAATTATGCCATTCACAAAATATCTGTTGCTTAATTGAAAAATAACTTCATAATGTTGACTGAGAAAAAACCTGCTGTTTCTTATAGCAGTGGTTTACTAAAGGAGAGGATGGCTTCTTGTCTAAAATTTGAGTCTGAAACACAGGTTTAAATCCTAGCAGATTGGACTTAGTCTTTTGGCAAAGATGCTGCTAAATAGAGTACCAGACTGCTGAATGGATTTTAGATAGATTCCTGTATAATATCTGTAGATTTCTGTAATGGTAATATTTTTTGTAAGAGTGACTTAGAAATCATGGCCACTGACAGACGTGGAAAAAACAAACAAACAGCACTTTTCCTGAAGAGGCATCACATCAGTTTCACCCGTCTCGCCCAACGTCTGTATAGATTGTGCGCTTCAGCAGGACTTTTTGGCACTTCTGTCTAATAGCTGATTGTATCAGCTATTAGATAAAAGCACCAAAAAGCCCCGGTGAAGCATGATCTATACAGATGTTGGGCGAACCATGTCAAACTGACATGATGCCTCTTCTGGACATGCACTGCCCTTGGTGCGTAGGCTCACAGAGCTGAATATAAAACACAGTTTTGTTTTGTTTTGTTTTGTTTTTTTTACCATCTGTAAGCAGCCTGTGTGATTATGGTTGTTTTCCAGCAGCAAAGGATCTGAGGAATACTTTCAGATGAAAAAGCACTATATACACATGTAAAATATTACTTGCAATATTGCAATTCTTTATTGCTGCTGGTGCAATTGATAGCAAACTAAAAATCAACATTTTAAGCTGAGAGCAAATAAACAGAGCCTGCATCTTACAGACTTTTTAAAAAGTGATGGGAAAGAAATGTTTTAGAAATAATTTAGATGAAAAATAGACGTACTCTGAGGGACACTGTCCACCTGCTGCACTTGTTTTCTATTCATAGATTTGTGTAAGGATGTGGGGAGGTACCTCATAAGCTCTCACAGAGGTTTAATGGGGCAGCTTCATGCTCTGAGCAATCACAATACACTGGGTAGCACCAGCTACCCATGCTACCAGTACTGGTGGTACAGCTAGCAACCAGATATAGCGATGCCTATTTTTGCACCTTCCCCACAAAGTCAACCCTCCCCCCCTTAGTTATGCTCTGAACACTCAATTGAAATGTAAAGAAAGTAAAGGGAAAACTGAGAGAACCTCATGTTGCTGTGGTGTCAACTCGTGTGAAAAATAAGCAAAGCTGTTATTTCAGATTGGTGGGTGTATCTTTCTCTAGTTCTTATAGTCCAGCTCCTTCCATTGTTTCTCATGCCCTCTGCAAAGCTAATCTACACATTTACCATATTCAGGATTAAAAGCAACGATCAGCACAACATTGTGTTTCCTTAAATTGTTAAAATCATACAGATTCAATTCTTTTTGGGGAGGATTTTTTTTGTTTCTTTTTAATTATATCATTTTCAGTCCTTATACAATTCCAGTGTGCACCAAAATTCCTTAGCAAAAAATTTTACATAAACTTTAAAACATAAAGCTAATACTTTCTACAGGTAAAGAATTGCTTCATTCTAGAATGTAGCAAATATTGAGAAATAAGGCAAGTTGATGAGATGAGCAAGTCATATTTTCTAATATTAGAATCTGTACAACTCTAGTGGAGATATTGGCTGTGTGAGATGTTATATAAGAGCTAAATTTGGCCTGAGGAGTTTTGGAGGAAGTTGCATTTCTTATTCTCCAGATCACTGTTTTATTGTCATTTTCATGTTATAATAGCTGCAGTAAACCATACATAATGTGAAAGTGGCAGGAACTTGTTATGAAACAGGGATTTTTTTTTAGTGCATCTTAAATTAATACATTTAGCCCAAAGAAAAAATATCATGTGAGGCAAAAAATTTTAGTTTCACCATCTCAGAAAATTCTTACTATAACTGGAGAATATCACTGATAGTTACCATCCCGATTGTGCTGCCTGCTTATTAACTGGAGGTAGAGCCATATTATTGCTTTGGCTTACATTGTACTGTAGGGCACCCTAGTTTCATAGTCAATCCATACTCAGGTTCTGCCAGCAAATGTTTATCAAATACCTTCTGGTATTTGATAAATGTAAAACTAAATACAAAAATAAAATGGTAAATATAAAATCCTGCATAGACCCTAGTCTTGTCTTTCTAATATCCCACAAGGAGGTATGTCTGTGGCTACACAGATTCTTGAGATATCACACAGCCAAGAGAGTTCCTGCACACAAGGGCTGTGACATTTGAGATGGTGCTCACTTGCCTCGTGATTCCCTAGAGGCCCCTTTTCCCATGTGGGGAGTGTATTGCATTGGTCTCAGAATCCACACCAAAGGAAGGTGTAATGAGAGCATAGTCTGTCTCAGGAACACATCCACATTTAAAAAAACTCAGCCTTGTTGAACAGTTACTGAGGGTCCACCCTATGAATGCTGCTTGGTTCAGAAATTGGCCTTGATCCAAACTGAATGAAAATAGATAATATTTTCATCTCCTATTAATGTCAATAGAAAATACAGGCATTCTTCAGAAGGGTTATCTACCTCAGTATGCATGCATGTTTATATGTCTGAAGTATTCATGCTTACGCACTGTTTTTGCAGTCCATTAAGTATGGGCTAAATTAAAATACATTGCTCCTGCAGTATGTCAAACAGGTGGTACTGTCATCATTCCTATCAAGCAGAATTGTGGAAATGGATGCATAGTATTCACCAGTGAACTTGTCTGTCAATTTGACATCATGTTGAGGAGTACTTTATTGGGAGGCATTACTTGTGAAAATGCTGCTATAAACACGGTAATGGATTTTGCTAAAGAAATGCTTCCTCAGACATGGTGATGCCTGTTGCTTCTTCAGAAATAATTGTCCTATTTATCAGCCTTTAAATGTCCACAGGTTAGGCAGTAATCAGATTTCTCTGGATCCATTTGGTCCATGAGGGTGCATCTACATGTGCAGTTACCCCACACAATAAACTCTGGCGCAGTTTGTGCTGGAGTGAGCTGCTTCTGGGCACAGTATTTATATATGCCCAGGATCAGCAATTCAAGCTGGGGCGGAGCAGCCCCAGGCCAGCAGAGGAGCTGGCAGGGGCACAAGGGTACTACAATATGGGGCTTGCCAGCAGGCAGCCAGCACTGTAACCCCCTTGTGCCCCAGCCAGCCCTGGTCACCGTCTACACGTGCATTGCAGTGGTGTAAATTATGCCACTGTAAGATAGTACTTGTCCCAAACAGTACTATTCTATGGCACATGTAGATGGTGACACTTTACTATGAAGGTAGTCAATCAACTCTGCAGTACAGCTCCTGTCTAGATGCAATGAGAGTGGTATAAGTTGATCCTTTATGCCACTATGAGGCATTTACATAGAACATAATATAGAGGTTTATGTGATTTTTATTTCTAACGTAAACTTAAATTTTAAATATTTATTTTTCAGTATTCTTTGTACAACTGAGCTTCATGTTTGTAACTTTCCTCTCTTCTACCAGGTATGTGATTGGAATTAAACAGAATGTTTAGATATTTTCAGTATTTGTACAGAACAGTATAATCATAATATATTTGTGTGTGTGTGTAATTATATATTTATAATATATAAATTCAGATAGATATCTCTTAGGGTTGTGTGAAGCTTCAGTCGCTGATTTGATTCGGTGGAGATTCTGCCCGATTTGGTGGCCAAACCTCCAAATCTGAATTGAATCAGAGGACTCTTTAATCTCTCCAAATTGAATCGAACCCTCCAAGTCGATTTGGAGAGATTCGGTGATTCAGACGCAGACCCAGTTTTAAATGTTTTTTCTACATACCTCTAGGTAGCAGGCTGCTCGTGAATGCTGCAGTGCTGGGGCACATGAAACGTCCCACAGAAGTGCGGGGGGGTTCCCCAGCGTGCTCAGCAGCAGACCCAGAAGTAGACCAGAAGCACTTCCAGTCCTCTTCCGGATCCCCTGGAGAGCATGCGGGGGGCCCCCCTGCGCTCCCTCAGCTTGACATCTGTTGCCTCCTGGGTCTGGGGGGGGCACTTGAGGTCCCCCTGCAGCTGATTGCTGAGCCAGGGGGCACAGGGGGGCTCCCCACGCTCTCCCCAGCAGACCCAGAAGTGGACTGGAAGTACCTTCGGGTTCGCTGCCAAGCATGTGGGGGCTGCCCCCCTGCACTCCTGTGGAATGCTCAATCCACCCCAGCATGGCAGTGTTCACGAGCCATGCCTGATACCTCGAGGTATGTAGAAAAAGCATTTAAAGCTGTGTCTGTGCCCGAATCTCTGATTCTCGAAATCAGCATTGAATCTTCGGATTTGGATGAATCAAATAGGGCCGAATCCAGATACGAATCAGATAGGACCCACTTCACACATCCCTAATATCTCTTCAGTATTTCTCAATACTTTCACTTGGCTGACTCTTGTCTCTGTATTTGTAAACTAAGCAAATTTGCTATGAAAAATCTTGGAAGGCATTGATCTTGACTACCTTGTGTTGAACTCAGGTTTGCTGCACCTGAGGTCTGGGAAGCAAAATGGTATCACTTTTTCCATTTTCCCTGGTACCAGCTAAGCGCCATATTCATTACCAGTGAATGTTAGAGCAGGGGTGTGGATACTCTGACCTACTCTGACTGGAACATCCAGGGACCAGGGAGTGCCAGAGTGCCCCATACCTCAACCATACCCCTTCCCTGAAGCCCCCTTCATCCACAGCTGAGCGTATGGTTGAGAAGAGGGAGTGCAGGCAGCAGGGACCTTCTAGCACCGTCGGAATTAACACTTCCACTGCTTCCCTTGCTGCCAAATTTCCAGATGCATGGGGAGTCCAGCCGGCTGGTGGACCAACCCCTCCCACAGGATCCAGCCCATGGACTGGCCCCACGCCATTCATCCTGCCCAAGGTGCCAAAAAGGTTGAGCACCACAAGTCTTATAAATACATATTCTGAATCTCAGAAAAATCTCTGCCCCATTTGGATTGAAGGTGTGACCATGCCTGAGCAATAATACACCTCTGTTAGGCAGTAGTCAGATTTCTCTGCGTACATTTGGTACACAGATTTCATCATTTTTTCACCCTTCTTGGCTTTAATTTTATACCATCAGTCCTGACCCCAGATTCACTCTTAATAGAGATGTAGATAGCCATATCTCCTTATATGCAGCTATTGAAATTTAGTTTCATATACTGTTTGGATAATAAAATTGATAGCATTATCCACTAAAAATAAAAACTGCCTGTTGGGCATTTTTTCAAAAATGACCTGGTTACTAATGCAATACAGAATATTTGAAAAAGTAACCTGGCCTGAAATAAAGTTGTGTCCTACATACAGCTTGTTTATAATGCTGTATGTTTCTTGTGGGAATGTATTCATTAGAGAGTTTGGCACAACTGAGAAACAATTCTGTAAAAAAAAAAAAAAATCAAACACTACTGTTCATTTGTGGGTAGAATTATTTCTGTCACTAGTACTGATCAAAGTGATATGAACATGCATATGGGTACTTAAAGTACTACATTTGATCAATGGTGTTTTAAGAAGGCTTTTACTAACAAGGATTATTAAAACTCTTTCTTTCTAGGAAGAACTCTGGTTTCACGCCAGCAGACACCGTGGCTATCATTTTCTGTTCTACACACAAATCCCTCACCTTGGGTAAGTCAGTGTGAGAGATCAAGTTTAGCTTTTTTGATGAAACCTTAATAGTATTTGTAGTTCAGTTTGTTATTTTTTTAAATCAAAGTAGCTCTTCGATTCAGTGCAACAGCAAGTACCCTTAATAACATACTACTAATATTACTATATAAATTATAACATTTTTGCACAGGGAAAATAAATGTTTATTAAAAGGAAGACAACATAGTCTTCTGAGCTGGAATATCAGTAGTAGTACTGTTAAACCATTAATGTGTTCCTCCTTTAAAGAAGGCTATTTTATTTCCTGTTTTTGATGCTCCATCACTAATCCAGTATTGATAAAGTTTGAGGTTCATTACTGATAATGTTCTCAGTTATTTTTATGTCGTCACACAATAAAGGTATTATTGCTCAAAACTGGTTAGCCCAAGGCAAATATAAAGTAAAGTTTGGAAACAAACCACCAAAGACAGTACTGAGTTTTACCAAATTCAGTATATTTATCTTGAGAAGTGCATTTTTCTTTATCTTTGTACTACATGTTTAATTTATTATGATTCGTCAGTCTAAAACATGATTGAAGTATTTTTCATTCAAAATTCCTTATTGATAACAGACATGTTATGGTAGAAATTAAAAAAAATACAATTAAAATATAGCTACACTATATTTGGGAGGGCTCACATGGCTGGTGCCTGGAGCCAAGCTGCAGCCACCCCTGCCTACCTTCCCCCATATCCCATGCCTTCACAGCTAGACAGAAAGCAGCAGACAGAGCAGCCTTCAGTCCTGGTTTCTGATTGACCAACGCTTTCTCTCATGGAGCCAGTGTAGCACACGGCCCTGGAACTGGAGTGCCAGGTCTGATCCTGGGTGCCAGGTCCAGCTGCAAACTGACCCCACGCACCAACCTGAACCAGTAAGTGGGGTTATATCATTCAGCCAGGTGGAGCTCCCCATACATCTGGAAATTTGGCAGTGGGGGATCAGTGGCAACATTTAATTGCTGTGGCTTCTAGAGCTACAGTAATTAATGCTGCCACCACACCCCCGCCACCAGATTTCCTTGCCTGTGCAGAGCCATGCTTCTCGCATTTGCCCCAGTTGCCACCGACTGGTTTTGAAGGAAAAGTTATATACATGAAAATGTGGTATTTGATTTGTTTTTTGACTCTGCTGTAGTACTTTGAATTATTTTTTACCAAATTAGTTTCTGCTGGTTTGAGTATAAAGTCAGACCATACATAGTAATAACATAGCCCTGCACTTCTGCACTAGCGCATCACAACACGTGATTATAGTATGGAACTTGTGGACCTACAGCACAACTATGACATAACAAAATAAATGCTACATGCATTCAAGCACATATATATGTGCAATGGTTGAAGATTCTTTTTCATTATTGTGTGATTTTTGTATGGGAACTGTATACACTTGTGTAACCTCTGATACAGAAGAAATCTTTATTTAAATTTGAAATATCTCTTGGGATTGCTTTCACTGAAAATGAGCATGCTATGTTCCTCTCTTGTCAGCTATTCTTGTGTCAGCTACTTACAAATAGATGTATCTGGATCTGCCTCTCATAGTTGAAAATCATCTACGGCCTCTCATAGTCTTCCTTCCGATAACATTTGTTTTCTAGTGGTGGATACACAAATTAATAGGAGTTAATAGTGGTGGTAGGTTGCACAGTGTTGGAGTCCCACCTCTTCTACTAAGATTTTGTCACAGTACTATTTTTACCTTTTTTTTTTTTTTTTTA